TTCTGAGTAGAGAAGTCACCAGCGCTCGAATAACCGAAGTGCTGGGGGAGTGGAGACGGGAGAATTCCAGCGGCTTGCCGACCAACTTATATCTGAGCTATAAGAGGGGAGCTAAGGCGGCTCATTGGTTAAATCAGTTAAGAGCGCTTGCTGCTCTTCCAGAGGACCTGAGTTGAGTTGGAAACATCCGCGTGGAACACTCACAACCACACGGAATTCCAGCTCCAGGGGAATCCAACCTTCAAGGACATGCAAGCACATCAAAAATAAATCATTAAAATATGCAAATAAGATGGAGAGTAGGGAAGAATAGTTAACATTGGCCCCTGGCTGCCACAGGCACACACCTGCAATATATATACACACACACACTCACACACACTCACACACACTCACACACACTCAGACACACACACTCACACACACTCAGACTCACACACACTCACACACACTCACACACTCACACACTCACACACACACTCAGACACACACTCACACACTCACACACTCAGACACACTCAGACACACTCACACACACTCACACACACACACACACAAAAACTTTCTGAAGATTTTTAAATGACCAAGAACCTTTCAGGGAAAGGGAGGAGAGAGAGGGAGGAGGGAGAGGAGAGAGAGGGAGGAGGGGGAAGGGAGAGGGAGAGAGAAGAAGGGAGAGGGAGAGGGTGAGAGAGGGGAGAGAGGAAAGAAGAGGGAGGAGAGAGAAGGGTGAGAGGGAGGAGGGGGAGGGGAGAGGGAAGAAGGTAACACTGAACTGTGCCCTTTAAAACGATTTAGGTGATAAATGTTATCTGGATTCACCACAATGAAAGACTAATTAGCAAATTTTAAAAATTCCCTTCCTTGGTGAATAAATGCAATGTGGGTTGTATGTACAGTGGAACACTACACAGGCATGAAAGGAAATTAAATGTCAACGAATATTAAAGTCACTCAAGCAGAGAACAGATTGGCGCTGGATTGCTTCCTCTGCCGCAGTTAAGGTCACAGCCTCCCACTGGCCTCGGCCTTTAAGGACAAGGAAATTCATTGTACATGTTAAGGAAAGTGTCACAAGAACGGTGTGGCTTGCCCAAGCAGCATGTCCTCATCAAGGACACTGGGAAACACAACAAGGCTGTGAAGCAGAAGCAGCTGGTCATTGCTGCCTGAGGGCACCCCACCCCTACCCCACCACCCCCAATCAGTTCTGCACTGTAGCCAGACCAGCAGTGAGGGTGCCTTCTTGTGTACTTGGTGAGTGGTGGTAGCTAGCTCGGGTCTCCAGAAATGACTAATGTCACCATTGACCTGCAACCCTCGGCCACAATGATGGGTGACAAGCTGCCCTCAACTCAGTGAAGGCCATTTCCTGGCCCCCACCCAAAAAAAGACTGGTGGTCCGTGAGGGAGCCTGGGGTAACTGAACTGATAAACCCATTCTAAAAACCAGCCACACTCATTACAGGAAAAAGGCAAAAAGGAACCAGGTCCTGCCTGGTGCAGTGTGACTAGTGTTAGACAGGCAACCTCTGGGCCCCACAGAGGGTCGAGAAACTTATCCATCCCGCAATGGCAGGCCTCTGGAGGGTGACAAGGGTAAATGTGACAGCTAGAGATGCCACAGCAAAAGCCTGAGTGACTTCCAGTGTGTATTAGTCCCCTGTTCTGCTTGAGAAAGACTCAAGACACACAGGGGGAGTGAGACTCTAAGCTGTTGGGAGGGATGAAAGAAAACATGCATTTCTGTATTCATATAAGACATTTCCCTGGGGGCCAAAGAAATGACTTAATAATGTTATTGTTGTTGGGTTACTTGTTTGTTTTGTCTTTTCCAGACAGGGTTTCTGTGTAACAGTCCCAGCTGTCCTAGAACTCACTCTGCAGACCAGACTGGCCTCAAACTCAGAGATCTGCCTGCCTCTGCCTCCCAAGTGCTGGGATTAAAGGTGTGTGCCGCCACCACCTGGCGAGATGACTCAATAGTTAAGAGAACGTGTTGCTCTTGGAGAGGTCCCAGGTTTGTATCCTAGCACTCACATGGTGACTCACAACCATCCACATCTCCAGGTCCAGGAGATCCAACCTCTTCTAACTTCTTTAGTCAGCAGACACGCACATGGTGCACACATGCACATGCAGGCAAATAAACTCATACACATAAAATACACCTTTTTCTTAGTTAAAGAGAGTTTTGCCATGAAGTCGTTTTCTAATTTTTAATTAATTGATTGATTGATTGACTATTTTGCCTTGAGATCTCACTTTTACTAGATACTGTAGGTGCCCCCATTTTGCAGAGGTGAGAGGGACTGAGGCTTAAGGAGGCCAATTCAAACAGCCAGCAAGTCTAGGTTTCAATGCCTGCAGTTTGACACCCCCACCTCCACACACACACACACACACACACACACACACACACACACACACACACACACACACACACACTGTCAGTCTTTCTAGGATATCCTGTCCCCTTGGACTGGCTTGGGAGAATACAGGAAAAACCCCAGCCCTCTCCCACAGAGCCCCGGCCAGTGACAGACACAGAGCAGAGCTGCCTGCAGGCAGAAGCAGAGCCGACTCCACATCCTCCGCTTCTGCAGCCTCCTGACAGCTAACAGCCCCATCCCCAGGCTCTGCGAGATAGGTGCTCCCAGGAGATATTCAGGTGAGCGAGTCTTCTCCTTGGGAAGACAGCAGGCAGAGATGGGAGACAAATGGCTTTCCCAGGGGTGACTCGGGTGTGAGGGGTGGGTGTCTGCCTGTCTGTGTGTCTGTGTATCCCATACCTAAGACCCTAATGAAAACTGCACTCAAGAGGGAAGATTTAGTTGAGGGCTGGTGGTAAGCAGACACTGCCGCTGGGAAAGAAATCTCGACAGGAACAAATAACATTGGCGTCCCTACAAAACGTCTCTTCTTGGGTCAAAGTACGTTTGAGTTCTAAACACACTTTCTGCATCTCTTCAGCCCCAGACTCTTTCTTTCTCAAATTCCCCCTAGCCCCTGTGGCCTTTAGTTGAGGGGACAGAAACTGCCTTGGGCGGGGGAATCTCTCCACTTTCTTCTACGGCCCTCCCTTCTCTTCCAACAGGCACTAGCTGGTCCTCATGTCCGTCAAAGCCAGCCCTGGTTCCAGCCCCACTTTAGCACCCAGCAATGACTTCGGGGAGATCCACAACTGGACAGAGCTGTTCCGCCTTTTAAACCACACCTTTTCCGACTGCCACACGGAACTCAACGAGAATGCCAAGCAAGTAGTCCTCTTCGTCTTCTACCTGGCCATCTTTGTGGTAGGGTTAGTGGAGAACGTCCTGGTGATCTGTGTCAACTGGCGCCGTTCGGGCCGGGCGGGGATGCTGAACTTGTACGTCCTCAACATAGCCATCGCCGACCTGGGCATCGTGCTGTCCCTGCCCGTCTGGATGCTGGAGGTCATGCTGGACTACACCTGGCTCTGGGGCAGCTTCTCCTGCCGCTTCACTCACTACTTCTACCTTGCCAACATGTACAGCAGTGTCTTCTTCCTCACTTGCCTCAGCATTGACCGCTATGTCAGTCTCGCCAGCCCCTCTCCCGCCTGGCAGCGCCACCAGCACCGGGTGCGGAGGGCTGTGTGCGCAGGGGTCTGGGTCCTCGCTGCTATCATCCCACTGCCTGAGGTGGTCCATATCCAGCTGATGGATGGCTCAGAGCCCATGTGCCTCTTCCTAGCACCTTTTGAAACGTACAGCGCGTGGGCCCTGGCGGTGGCCCTGTCTGCTACCATTCTGGGCTTCCTACTGCCCTTCCCTCTCATTACGGTCTTCAACATCCTGACGGCCTGCCGGCTTCGGAGGCAAGGACGGCCGGAGAGCAGGCGACACTCCTTGTTGCTGTGGGCGTACGTAGTCGTCTTTGTCGTCTGCTGGCTGCCCTACCATGTGACTATGCTGCTGCTCACTCTGCATTCGACCCACATCTTCCTCCACTGCCATCTGCTCAACCTGCTCTACTTCTTCTACGAAATCATCGACTGCTTCTCCATGCTGCACTGCGTGGCCAACCCCATCCTCTACAACTTTCTCAGCCCAAGCTTCCGGGGCCGGCTGCTGAGTATCGTGGTCCGTTACCTTCCCAAGGAGCAGGCCAGGGCAGCGGGCCATGGGGCTTCCTCCTCCTCCTCCACCCAGCACTCCATCATCATTACTAAGGAGGGCAGCCTGCCCGCTGCAGACCTTCACCCCCATCCCACACGGAACTCTCAGGCATCCTCTCCGCCTCCCAACACCTCATCTACACTCTGCGATTCCATAGCCAGCTGAGCTAGATTCCAGACTCTTCCATCAGTAACGAAGTTCGGATCTGGGGGAGGGGACAGGGGAAGACTGGCTTGTTCGGGGTCAATTTTAAATATATCCAAATGTCGGTTGTGGGGAGAGGGAGAAGGGTTGGGAAGGAGAGTCTAGGTCCTCCCTTAGTGGCATGTTATTTGTTTGGGTCCTCTTGGAGGGAGAGCGTGAAATAAACAGTAGAGAAAGTCGTGCTGGGGGGTCTCTGAGAGCTGTGCACTTCCAGCTGGGTGGAGGAAGGCCAGGAAGGCAAGGACGTTCTGCAGAGGGAACTGGATGCCCTTGTTTCATAAATCACCCCGGCCGGAAAGAACCAGCCCCACAGGAACCTTGCAAAGTCTCGCTTTCGTGTTTGTGTGCTTGCTGATCTTCCAGCACACTCTGCAAGCTGTGGGGACAAGAGGCCAGGGGCCAAGGACCCAGGAGGCTGCTGCAGGACGTTCCCAAGCTGTGTATCATCCAGTGCAGTGAAGGGTGGGGAATCACACAGCTGGGTCTCAGCAGGCACCCTGTGGCTGCTCAGCAGGACGGCTCCTCCACCCAGCCATCCATCCGGGAAACGCAGCTCCATTTCCCTGTGGTGGCCTCTCCCTCCCCCATCCATCCTGCTCCTCCTTCCCCAAAGCAGAGGCCTCCTCACTGAGGACCTCCCAGCTTTGAATCTAGGATACCCCATCTCCTAGGGAGGCACAGAACCACCAGTGACCCCAATCCCACCCCATCTCCCAGATCACAGCAAGAGTATCAGGGGACATTCACTTTGTGCCTCTGCCTTTGTCCCCTGCAGGGAGAGGAACGGTCAGATACCAGTTTCCCTATTTTCAGGATTCTACAGTAATTCTCTCTAGCCAAGCCTTTTTATAGTTTCCCTGTCTAGTAACACTACAGATAAGACATCCCCTTGTTAAAAGTGATCTCGGGCAAAGACTCGGTAACCAGACTTGGGAAACGACGGTGGTGAAACAGAGAGCTGGCATAAGAGCTTTAGACTCTAGCTTCTTTCTGCCTTGTGTCCTTGGCCTCTGGATATCATCTGGAGCCGTGGACTTGCAGACGCAACCACCCAGTCTGCTCTGGTAATGGGTGCTCCCATAGTTTCCTCATCCCCTAACTGTCTCTCTGGTGCTGCTCACCAGCAGTGTACCTGGAATAGGTGTATGGGGGGAAGGGAGTGCGGCACATACATGTTCACATGTGTGCATACCAAAGGTCAACATCAGATGTTTTCATCAATTGCTCTCCCAGCTCTTTTTTGAGATAGGGTCTCTCACTGAACCTCGAGTTCATCATTGGCTTGACTGGCCGGCCAGCAAGCTCCTGGGAAACACCTGTTAAACCATTTTTGCTTTCAGAAACCTCAACCTGTATTTACCAGACAAATTCCTCACATGCTCCAATGGCGCATACGCTGTCAAATGTGTAAGGAGAAACCAATATTGACTCTGCTCACTGGTTCCAAAGCTAAAAGGGTCTTATGTTATAGACAGCTACTCAGGAACACAGCTAAAGGTTTTTTGACCCAGAAGTTTTTTTTGGAGGGGAAGTGGTGGTTGAGACAGGGTCTCTCTGTGTAGCCCTGGCTGTCCTGGAACTCGCTCTGTAGACCAGGCTGGCCTCGAACCCACAGAGATCCGCCCGCCTCTGCCTCCCGAGTGCTGGGACTAAAGGCGTGCGCCACCACCGCCCGGCGTGACCCAGCAGCCTCAGTTGCTGCTTAAGGCACAGTAAAATTTTAACCTAATAATGCAGAAAATGCATTAAAAAACCCTTCTGCACTTGTCCCCATTTACAAATGCAGGATAAGTCCTGATGCCCGTACCAGTGATATGAGCTCTGGAACACATCTTATACCTCAGTAACCACAGAAGCCACCTCCCTGAGACAAGGTGTCACTCAGTGATCTCCTGGGGGCCGTTCCACACATGGAAGGGATGAGCAGAAATGGATACACTGGCAACAAGGCTGTCCTGCTTAGACCAAGCAGATGGTGACCGGGCCTCAGGCTTCAGGCCATCTTCTGAGGGAAAACACTAGTCTCGATCACACAAAACACCACACCTGTGCCTCCCACTCGGCTCTTCCTTTCCCCTCTCCGTCTGCCTCCCACTCAGACACACTACTTCATCATGAAGTGGTAATGGCAAGAACCCTTGCTTCCCAACTGGGCTGAGACCTGTACAGAGACTCAGTGTTCTCTCCAGGTGGAAAGATCACTTCAGGGATGTTTCCCCGAGACACTGAGTGCTTGACTTCAAATCCCACTACAAACCAGTCAACAAGCCAGTCCGGGGGAATTCCAACCACAGGAAAACACCATGTGTCGCCTGAAAGAATCCTGGCATCTGCTGGGCTGGTGTGAACTCCTGAGACCCGCCAGAGCCAGATGTCCGAACTCCAAGCCTGCACAAATGTGCATGCACATGGGGAAAAAAGAAAAACAACTCTCACTTCAAACTTTTTTCTTTTTTATTCTAAATAAAAACCACACTTTGTGCTGAACCATGGGATATAAAAGAATCAGATGTACGATTTTAGACGTCTACTATTTGGGGGAAAAGGTTTACAAAATATACAAAACTTTACAGCAGATAGTAAACACTTAAATATTAGGAGGTCAGTACTTCTTAATTTAATGGAAGGATTAGACAGCAGCAGCTTCTCTGCTTCATAAGAGACTTGAGCTACTCCAGGTGGGGGCGGGTGGGAACAGACATTGGGAAGGTGTCAAAACATCATCACGAGTGTCATTTTCGTTCTGACAAAGATTACGATAATTACATTGAAACGAATGTTGTGCACTTTCTGACTCACTTGGTGCAAGATTTAGGGGAGAGGGCGTGGGTACTCCTGGATAGGCAGAGACCAATTCATAGGGCCCCTCCCATGCCAACAGTCTCAGTGTCCATCCATGAAGGGATTTAAATTAACTTTCAAAGTTGAGTAGTCTAGGGTCTGGTGGACACAGCACAGCAGGAAGCCAGAGAAGGAAGATGGTCAGTAGCAAAATCTCGCCTAGGTAAAAAAAGCACTGAAGCGTACAGGCTTGCCCTGTAGACTAGGGGCTGTGGATACGTCACCTAAAGTAAAATGTAATTCTTTCCTATTTCCTGGTCCTTAGGGTTGCCTGACCCCCACCAATACCACCTCTTTTCTTCCCAACTAACGTGAACTGCGGGACCCCACAGAGTCTTAAGACTCAGAACCGAATACTGGGGTTCGCTCAGTAGAGCTGCCAGTCAGTGTGTGGCATCGCTGAGCCATCAGGGGTCACCGGCATGCAAGGACACATCCTGTCCTCTGGCCATAAGCAGTCCTTGCTGTGTGTGCCAGCATGTCACACCATCATCACAATTTCCCTTAGCAGACAAGCTAGGACTGCCCTAGCTTGGCTTTAGACATCCCTAATGATTGCTGGACAAGAGAGTTCTGAAAACTGCAGACCAAAAAAAGGGGGAGGGGCGCGACACAGGCAAAGATGGAACATTCAAGGGTCAGAGAGAACTCTAAAGCATAAGCAGGGGCTAGTGCTAAACAGGAGTCCAAAAGGGAGGAGAAAGTGAAATCAAATAGGTGTTAAGTTAAAAACTGAAAATGCAAAAACACAGTTATCACCTTCCACCGGGAAGCCTTGAACACCCTCACTACCATCAAAGATTCAAGTAAATCAACTCAAGAGAAGGACGAACTAGCTCCGGGGGAAGCAAACACAGCTTCACACAGAAGGGGAGACAGGTATGAGTGTGGGGCAACCCACAGAAGCGTGGCCTGGACAATGAGCCTCATGAGCCTCCGACTCCACGTGCTACATGTCTGACTGGGACCAAATGGACCTCCCGATCACCTAACCTCGAGGGATCAGAGGGTACGGTTTTTAGTGTTTGAAGGGCAAAACTTCAAAGATCTGCTTTTTGGTTTATGGCAAAAGGGGAAAACTTCACAGTTTCAGGTTAAGTAGACAGACTACCCAGCATCTACGATGTCATATGCTAAGGAAAAGGTTTCTCAAAACACTCTCAGCAACCTTGCTGAGCTCCAGTAAGTACCACCCCTCTCAAATCCACACTCACTCCTCACCAGCAGTCTTGGAAAGCTCAGCAGATACATAATTACAGCTTGTTACACATCCCCAGTGTAAGAAAATGGGAAGTCACAGCAATGAGTTCCTGATAAAAAATGTCACAAGTTTAGATAGCCAAAGGCGGCCTTTGACTGGCCACTGTCTCAGCCTTAACATTTGAGCCCACCAGAGTGCCCTGAGCATTAACTCACAGGCTTTCTCAGTTCAGGGATGGGGAAAGAGGCAGCTGGCCCAACAAGGACACAGCTTGGGTTTTCCTCTGTGTCTTAACATATGTGGACAGGAGGCTCCCTAAGCTGGAAGAAGAAAAAACTGTGCAAAAACCTTCTTCATGTGACTTGATCTAGATTTGTTCTGCTGGAAAAAACACCTGGAGAAACGAAAATGTGCTGTTTAAAAGACCTGGAACATAGCCACGTGTTGGTGGCGCATGCCTTTAATCCCAGCACTTGGGAGGCAGAGGCAGGTGGATCTCTGTGAGTTCGAGATCAGCCTGGACTACAGAGCCAGTTCCAGGACAGACTTCAAAGCCACAGAGAAACCCTGTCTCGAAAAACCAAAAAAAAAAAAAAAAAAAAAAAGACCTGGAACATTCTCTCACAGTTACACCTCTATTCTCCAAATCCACAGCACACCCATCTGGTGGATATGGTTCCTTGCTTGAGAGAAACTAATTTTCCTAAAGTCACTTATTGAAAAGAGATACTGGGTAATATGTATACAACACAAAAAAAATAAATACTAATGTCTAAAAAGGCTTTGTGAGTTAATTAAAACCATTTGCTTATGGAACAGCCCAGGGTGCTGCTGAGTCCCACCAGTGGGCAGCGACAGCTGGCTGGCTGGGCCCAAAACTAGGGACTCTCAGAGCTCACCTGAGCAGGGTGAGGTAGTATGAGCTACTGAAGTGCCATCTTCTAAGTATGCAAGATCAAGGGTCCTCTCCTCCAGCCGTTTTTGGGCAAGGTCCCTTCAAAGACTAAGAAAGGAGTCAAACAGCCACATTTGGAAGGCCTAAGCCAGCTGCCACCCAAGTGCGCCACCTGCAGGCGATGCAACCACAGCTCCCGGACGTTTACCACCAAGTAAACAAGAGGCCCGAGTGGGAGAGTCACACCCTGCTGCATACCACCAGTCACTAGGTTCCACCACCTCACAGGGTCGAACCATCCCGAGTGGCAGACTCGAATTAAGGCAAGATTGCTGCTGTCAGAGGATCTCTTCCTGCCCAGGAGACCACGCCAGGTTAAGGAGGCGGCCAGGTGGCAGATGACTACATCAACGTGGTTCTCTGTCCTCTCTGCTCGTGACAGAAGGCTTGACATCCAGGGACATACTCTTTAAAAAAATCATGTTTCTTTGGAAATGAGGAAGAAGAGGAGTAAGTTCTTCATCCATCCAGGCTCCCGTCGGGTGGCACCACGGGACACCCAAGCTTTCCAACCTGAACAGAAAGCTTGGTCCTCAGTTTGGATCTAGCTGCCAAGAGATTTTCACTGTCCAGTCAGGATATCCGAGCTGCCCTCGGCTCCCGACACCTTGTCCCTGCTGAGGAGGGAGTGGGAACCCCAGATGAACTGCCTTCTGAGCGACCACGTTCCCCAAACCTTCTCATAGCTGATGCCCCGCCAGAGGTCAGACAGTCACACCCACAGTGAAAACCTCTCTCCGCCTCTTCCATCCAGTGAGGCTATTGGTCGGATTCTTAGCAGCATAAAAACTATCAGTAAACTAAAACTAGAGAAACTGGCAAAGGGGACCTAGTTGACAGGACCACTTGACTAGATCCTAAAAACCAGCCTCAAAAGAATTAAGAATACAGCCCTCCGTGGGCAAGAGTAGGTATGGAGGTAAATGTAACAGGGCTGTTGCCTCTCAAAAACAGTAACAGCTTATGTGCTATTTCTTCTTTCAACACAACACAGAATAGAATTCCTAGCAAGGCGAAACTGTAGCATCAGCTGGGGAAGGACCAACAGCCTTCAGAAAATCACCATCCTGGCTGCCACCTGGGAGCCCCCTCTGCGGAGGCCCCGTCAGCTGTCCGGGTTCTTTTCGGTCTCTTTGGAATGGATAGTGTACATGAAGGTCTGCTCGATGGTGAAGTCGGGGGGAAGGCTGCCTTTGTGCACGCCGACATGTTTGCTCATGAGGTTAAGGGTGGAACTGTAGTGGCCACAGACTGTGCAACGGTACATGAGTGCCCCGGAGTGCGTCTTGAGGTGGCACTTGATGGTCGAGCGGCCTCGGAAGAATTTGTGACACACCTTGCACTGGTAAGGTTTCTCACCTGTGTGGATCCGCCGGTGGTAGTTGAACTCACTTGTGTGGGCAAACCTTTTGCCGCAGACCTTGCAGCTGTACTTGCTGTTCCCAGGCTGGCCCTGCAGAGCCAGCTCCTCACTCAGGAACTCCTCCACCGGCAGCTTCCGCTTCTGGAGGGCTAGGTGTTGCAGCCCCAGGGCAGGCCGTGTGTCGAGGCCACTGCTGCATTTGTGCTGGCTCACGTGGTAGCGGTAGGCGGCCTCGGACCTGAAGCTCTGGCTGCATAAGTGGCAGCGGAACCGGGCGTCCTCCAGGCTCTGGTGCTCGGCCATGTGCTTCTCCAGAAGGTGCCAGTCCACAAAGCTACTGGCACAGGCCGAGCAGGAGAAAACCGAGATGCCCAGATGAGAGAGCGTGTGCCACATGAGGCTGCACAGGTTGAGGTGGCGCTGGTCACAGATGCTGCAGGCCTGGCCCTTCAAGTTCAGATGGTCAAGGATGTGGCCTCGGACCACATGGAAATCTTTGGCCAATGCTTTCCCACAAACAGCACACTTTAACTCAAGGGAAGCTGCCCCTGAGAAGAGACCCAGTTTCCCAGAGAGGGGCTCATGAGGGTGGACAATGATGTTGTTCTCAAATATCCCATCCCGTCGATGCAGGGCTAGCTGCCATTGGGTAAAGAACTTCGTCTCACACATGTCACAGGAAAACAGGAAGATACCAATGTGGGACAGGACATGGGTCACCCGGGAGTTTCGGTCCTGGAAGTGGGTCTCGCAGACCTTGCAGTTGCCTGTGAGCAGGTCCACGTGGTCCCGAGCATGCTGCCGTATCAGCTGTATGTTGGGTTCTAGAACTTTCTTGCACACCTGGCAAGGCATGGCCTTATTCTCCCGGTTGTCAGTCTCACCAAAAGCCAGGTCGTCCTCACTGTCATCGCTCAGCTCAATTACCTCCTCGGCTGTCCCAATCTCTTCAGCTGGGTCCTCGAACTGCAAATCATCATCCCCCAGGTCCTCCAGCTGGAGCTCATCCACCTGCCCAAAGCCTGGCTCTTTGGAGTGGTCGCTATTGCTCAAACAGGAATTGGCCCCGGCTGCAATGTCCATGGCACTGTTCGGAGTGAAGAAGTTGTTTTTACTGAAGTCTCCATTGCTTTGAACTTTGTAGGACTGGCAAGAACTCGTGCCAGTCTGGATGCCTGCGTTGACATTGCCCAGGACTGGCTGGGTCACCATACTAGGAACAGACGTGAACGGAACAGGGGCGTCATGGTCTTCTATCTTTGGTGGCAGGGGCAGTTGTGGCAGGGGCAAGCTGTGGTTAGTGTCACTGGTCACATTCCTCTCTTCCTCTTTATAGTTCCCGCCAACATCGGTAGGCAACACATAGTTTCTCTCAGGACCAAAATGTTCCCCACTTCCCCGGAGCTCCCCTAGGGAGTGGGTGGGATCTACTGAAGGGCACCTCAGGGTACCAGACTGGCTATCACTGGTCAAGGACTTAGCTACTGCAGTGCTCTCTAGGTCAGGAAACGTTGAGTGACAGGCCTGAAGCAGGTCCTCCATACCCAGGCGCTCAGCGACCTCATAGATGACCCCAACGTTGATCAGGTCTGTGAACAGCTCTGAGGTGTAGACAAAGCTCAGAATCTTCTCAAAGTTGGCAGGCGTGATGAAGTCCACCACGTAGGTCCGGGCGGCATCAAGCCCAGTATTCAAGAAGAGGTTCTGGAAGTAGCCAGCTGCGCAGGCCAGCACGGCCTTGTGGGCGGGGAAGGAGCGGCTCCCCACCACGATAGTGACATCGCACATGGTCTCTGACAGCCGGCACTTGTTGAGTTCCTTCAGCAGGTTGTTGGGGTGGCTGGTGCTTTGCAGCTTGATTCTCATGCCCATCTTAGCAGCTCCTAGGAAGTTGCCTCTGCCAGCAAGGTCAATCTGTGGACAAGACAAAAAAAGATAGCCAAACATCCCTGAGGGGGGCTCTGAGCAGGGGTAAATGGACAAGGAGAACTGAAGCCAAAAATAACAAGTGGGTGAGAGTGATCTGTTCCCTACATACATAACCGACTGGAGATTCATCACAACAAAATCCCAAAGGAATGAGAAAAAAAAGTTGGTTAGCTTGGTCTGGAAAATCTACGAAGCTGGATTACGGACAGCTCAGCCGTTGAGAGCATCTGCTGGTCACACACAGGAGCCAGGTTCCATGTCCAGCATTCACATACCATATCCTAACTCTAGTTCTAGGAGATCTGACACCTTCTGGCCTCTTCAGGCAACAGAAGCACGTGGCCCAATGTAAGGAGCATGTAAACAGACAGGCAGAAGCCTGGCTAAAAGGAGATTGGGAAAGTGAGCATAGGCCCGTTACCCAACTGCTAGAGTTAGAATGAAGGAGAGCCGGGCGTTGGTGGCACACGCCTTTAATCCCAGTACTCGGGAGGCAGAGGCAGGCGGATCTCTGTGAGTTCGAGGCCAGCCTGGTCTACAGAGTGAGTTCCAGGACAGCCTCCAAAACAATACAGAGAAACCCTGTTTCAAAAACAAAAACAAAAAACAAAACAAAACAAAAAAAAGAATGAAGGACAGTGTACATGTGTGTCTTCTGCATGCTCCTTACACACACTTACACACATGTAGACAAACACTCATACACACAAAACAAAAATAAATACTTTTAAAAACCCAAGAGGCCAGGTGCGATAGCATATACCTATACTTCTAGCAGTTGGTAGGTTAGGGCAGGAGGATCAGGAGTTCTAGGACAGTCTGGGCTACGAAGCCAGATTGTACATTTTACAAGAGGGGAGTGGGGTGTAGATGTCAAGCTAGGAGCCTTCCAATCGAGAAGAGCTACTGAATACAAGTCCCTCTACTACCAAAACAATGGGCTTGGGTTTCTTTAACTTCCTAGATAAAGTCTCTTTTGTCATTAAAAGTCTATCCTCTTCCCTCTCAATGCCAAATGCCACCAATGCACTCGAACACCATTATCAAAGCTCCATTCGCTACTGAGGAACAGGTAAGAGATGCACTTTAGTTGCCTATCACTGATGCTCTTTCAAGCCTCCAGATAACCCCACACTCTTTACTCTTTCTTCTCTCTTTTATTTGAGACAGGGTCTTATGTAGCCCAGGCTGACGTTGAAATTACTCTGTTCCTAAAGGATGGCCTTGAACTCATTATCCTTCTGCCTCTCCACCTCCCAAATGCTAGAACACAGATACGAGCCACCAGACCCAGCTTGAATGCCCATCGCACCCTTCCTAGGCTATGTGCCTACCCTCTGGCCCTTCCCAGAGCCATTCCGGACGCTGCTTTCTCGACGCTACTGCATTCTGCAGATGAAGCTAAACTCATAATCAAAGAAGAAAGCAGAGAGAACACAATTGTGGTATTTAACATTACTTGGGGACACTGCGTTTCTCCTTACCAACCTTACACTGTCAACTGGATACCTTATGAAAGACATCAATGGCATAGGAAAGAGTCCTTCAAGCCCTTTTAATACTTTCCCCCCTGTCGGTTCCCAGACACCTCGGAGGAACAGCCAGCCAGCTAGTCACATGCTTGTGCGTCTCACAACTCGCCCCTTTCTCCACCGCACCAACAATTCCCAACTTTTTCCGGGGCCCGGCACTCGTCTGAGTATTGCTGGGCACCGACCCCGCGTCTCCAGGGCCCTGGCGGTCACTCATGCACCGTGGGAGGGTCCGGGTACCCGGTAGTCTTGGAACTTGCAAGGAGTGCGCCCCAATGGTCTGGCGCCGTCGCGGTCTCCTCCTCTCCGCCAAGGCAGGGGCCGGATTGGGCTGGGGCGCACCCCGCGGGGAGGGGACACCTCGGCCGCCCCAGACAGCACGGGCTGCCCGGGGGAGAGCCAGGCCAGGCGCCGCGGGAGTCGGCCGAGGCGAGGCCCGAGAGCCGCGGCCCGGCCGCGGGGAGGGAGATAGAGCCGGCTGGGGACACCGGCAGGGCGCGCCCAGCCAGGGCGACGGAAAAGGCCGAGCGAGCGAGCGGGAGTCCGGCTCGGCCAGGGGCAGCGCTTACCCGGCTCCGCGGGGTCCGAGCACCATCGCCGCCGCCGCCGCCGCCTCACACAAAGGCCCCGGCCCGCCGTGCCCGGCCCGACGAGGAGGCGGCGCCGCCGGCCGCGGCCAGACTCTCCATCCGCCGAGCCGCTCGCCGCGCCGGCCCGGGCCGCCCCCGCTGCCCGGCCCGCAGCGCCCCCCGCCGTCCCGGAGGAGCCAGCGCCCCCCGCCGCACGGCCCGCAGCGCCCCCCGCCGTCCCGGAGGAGCCAGCGCCCCCCGACGGCCGGGCGAAGCCAGGAGCTCACACTGAGCGCCCCCGGGGAGTGGAGACACCGGGTACGAGCCCGTCCTCAACCGGCTTTACAAGAGTTTATACGCTTGTTTGGTTAATGAATGTCTCCTCTTGTGAGCTTCCTGAAGGCAGGCATCTGTGGTTTTGCAAGAGCCCCTATTTCGGGTTTTGTTTGTCACCACGCTTCCTAGGCGGTTCCTAAAGCCTGTGTGCGGGTGCGGATGTGGGTGTGTGGGATGGGGACCGGGTGAACGAACGGAGTATTTCAGGTTAGGTCCCTGGGAAGCTCTTCTGACAGTCCAAAGCTGACCCTCCTTTCCCATAGATGGTCAGATGGAGTCACAGGGTGCCCTCCCTGCACCTTGGGTGGGCTGAACTGGGTGGACACCCAGACTAGAACTCCATCGCCGGCCTTCACCCTTCTCCTGAACCCTCTCTTCAAATGTTTCTGTTCAGGACTAGCCATAAAAGCACAACTATCTCCCCTGCCTCCGTCCTGCCTGGCGAGAGTGGACGTCCAGGCACGGGACCGGAACAGGCGTATGGCAGGATTCAGTAATTCTTGATGGATAAACGGGAAGGAGAGGGCACGGAGTTAACTGTCCTAAGCTACTTTGGCGGTTCCGTAGTTCTTCAGTTTGGCAAGCGGTGTGTTTTCATCCCCATTACAGTGGTAGAAGACACTGAAAGTGGTGTGTCAAAGGCCCCAAACATGCTGGTTTCATTAGTAGCCAGGTCTGTCCTCCAGCATTGAAAAGGCTGTTGCCCTTTGAACTGTCAGCAGCTACAATCACTAGCACAGATCTTCACAAGACTAGGCCCCCTGACCTCTGTGGTGAGGCCCTGCCCCCTTCCTGATTTCTGGGAAAGGTCTTCCTTCTCGTCTATAATTAGCTACAGAGTAATGGGTTTCCTAATGACATTTTCGTGTCTATATATAGTTTTGTTTGACCACCTTTTCTTCCTCCATCTTTCCTATTCCCCACTCCTGCTTAAGCCCCATCCTTAGGATTCCACTCTCAAATCACGCGTGCTCTATTCTCCTCTCCTTTCCTGTCCTCTCATGTATGCGAGCCTTAAACTCACTCCAAATACAAACACATAAAAATTAGAAAGACTTGCATGTAAGAGAATGCATGATGTTTGTATTTCTAAGCCTGGGTCAACCTTGAATTAATATAGTCTCCAATTCCACCATTTCCCTCAAAATTTCATAATTCTACTTTGCTTTACAGCTGAATAGAAGCCACTTATACAATACACACGCACCACTTTCATTATCTGCCAATGGATGGACATCTAGGTTATTCTGTTCCATTGGTTGTTGTGGATATAGCAGCGATAACAGGAATGTGCAGATATCTCTGCAGTAGGATGTCATATCCTCTGGCCCAGATATGTCTGGGTTGGATGGTAATTCTATGTTTAGCCTTTTAAGAAACACTATGTTTCCCATAGTGGCCACACCAAACGTATACCCCCCCCCACAGTGAATGAGGGTATGCAATGGTGTGTCTTCTTGCTTCAGCTGCGCTGATCTTGCTGTGGGTAAAGAGACGTATGGCTCTGGCTGCTCATCTGAGGGTGGAGCAGTGTCTGCTGGAGGCATAGAGTGGCAAGCTTCCTTGGTGAATGATCTTCACAAGAGTGCAAGGGCCCCACCAGGCTGACCACAGGCTAGACTATGCATTACAATCTCGGAAAGCAGCACGCACGGAAAGGGAGTTGGAATGGAAGCAGCTGTGGCATCGGTTGCGCAGTCCCTTTCCTGAGCAATAAGCCATGCAAATGAGCCTCCGCTGTGCACCCAGAAACTTGCCCACATAAGGGAGGAGTTACCGTTAGGGTTTGGTGGCAGAAGAATACCTTGACAGATTGGGGCCAAAGAATGTTGCAGAAATCACACCACGTAACAGCTCCCATGCAAGAGATTTGTGCGTGAGATTTATTCACGCAAGGGTGGGGAGTGAAAGACCACCTCTGAGCTAGTACAAGAGAGACAGAGCGATGGACAACGACGGTGATGGTGAGGACTGTTGAGAGGGCACACATGTCGCTTCTGGTGCCTGGTACATGGCTGCTGGCGCTGAGTCACTGCTACTATGTATGTATTAGCAAAAGGCATACCGAGACTAGACTCTGAGTTGGTGGAGCTGGGGTTGGGGTTACTGGCTTACAGTTTCAATGGTTGGGGAGAAGAGAATGTGATAAAATCATGAGCTGAGGATGAAGCTCAGCTGGAGGAATGCTTGCCTAGAACACATAAGACCCTGGCTTTTATCCCCAGTGTAATAGAAACCAGGTGTAGTGGTGTACATTCACAGTCCCAGAATACAGCAGGTAAAGACAGAAGGCATCAGGTCCAAAGGACACTCCATTTCCCAAAATTCCAAAAGGCAGTCCAAATACCCAGAAATGGGCTCAACCTGGTTAAAGGAGGATTTCCGGCAGTTAGATAAAAAGCCAGCATTCCTCAGGAACTTGTAAAGCTGGTTCCCCTCTACTAAAAGAGGTCATTTCCCTGATCACTGGCAGAAGAGACACATGGCTACCTGTGGTTCCTATCAGCTTCCCAAAACACAAGCTGGCTCCCAGGCTCCCCTAGTACCTGTTACACATCTCAGAGTCCATGCTGGCATCCTAGGCCTTCTCACCTCCTCCCCTACCCTAAACTCCCCCCAGCTACCGACTTCCCTCCTACCAACTACTCATCCTTCTAACCCTGCTATGTTTTCTGTTCTCTCATGGCCAAGTCCAGTCTGGCAGCCATATTTCATCCACTTTTTCTACTTTGGATTCTTCCAGGTGCCTATATGTCTACATCTCTCTCATAACTATAATAAAAGCTTCCCCCTTTAACCATACCATGGACCGGTCATGTTGTCAGCTTATACAAAACTGTCAGAAGGCCAAGGTCATCCTCGGCTACATAGCAAATTTGAAGCTAGCCTGGGCTACTCAAAAGCCTAAAAGAACTGTGCTAACAGCCAGCCCCTCACGGGTTCCTAAACAGTGAGGAGAGGGTGAAATAGAATAGAAGTTATCTTTCAGTTCCAACCTTTCAATCAGAGGAAGGCAAAACCTGTGGCATAGCATTCACCTAGGGGCCTTAACAGGCCAGTACATGAAGCTATGGTAATCAGAGAGTATTCTCTTTTTTTTTTTAAGATTTATTTATTTTGTGTACAGTGTTCTCCCTGCATGCATGTCTTCAGGCCAGAAGAGGGCACCAGATCTCACTACAGATGGTTGTGAGCCACCGTGTGGTTGCTGGGAATTGAACTCAGGACCTCTGGAAAAGCAGTCAGTGCTCTTAACCACTGAGCCATCTCTCTAGCCCCAAGAGTATTCTCTTTGAGCTGCTTGTGTTGGGGCTTTTCCTCTCTGGTTCAAATGAGTTCAGTGTCTAGTTTGACTTTACAGCAGCATTAACTGTCTCTCTGATGTAGCCATGCCTGGTGGAGTCCTGGTGGGTTCCAGATCAGCTCATACTGCTTTGTGTGTCCTGGGATGCGGGGATCATCTGGGTTCTCTGCAAAGAAAATCCCACCTATTTCTGCTTTCTGGGGCTCTTTTCTCTTATTTCCTATTTGGCGTCTTTTTACCTTGACTTTCTTACACCCAAACTCCTGGTCTCATAGACACAGTTTCTGATTCACCATCATGACCTCATCACTCCATTTTCTCAAATTGCCTTCCAAACATTTATGTTTATGCCTATATTTTATTGTCGCTGTCATCCTTGGCCTCGGAAACTGCTTTTTTTGCAGTGGGCAGTGGTTACCCGCAGAGACACATAACTGATAACTGCTGAGAATCAGTAGTTATTGGATGCTCAGTCCTGAGTGAGATGTCTGCAGTTCTCCGTCCAGGGTTCTGGGAACTGTGAGACCAAAACAGGAGCGACACATTTCCTAAGTTAAGACCAAAACAAGAAAAATAGGCCTTGCAGCTTAAGGGTTCTGTTTGCTGTTAAGACAGATAAAGAATAAGTTCCTGTTTGTCCTGAGCTAAGTCCTCGAAAGTTAAGATTTCCAGTTGTAATTAAGAAGTTCCTGTTTGTCCTGGGTTAAATCCTTGTTAAAGAATAAGTTCCTATTTGTCCTGGGTTAAATCCTTTTCAAATTAGGTTTCTATTTGTAATTAACAAATTAGGTTTCTAAGGGCTGATGTAAACTGCTTGTAACTCCATTTTTTCCTTCTCAATGTATCCCTCTAACAATGTATAACTACCAACCTTGTAAACAGCTCATCCTGAAGAGGGACTTCAGGAGGCCAGTGGGGCTGCTGTCTCAAATCCTTACAGCCCAAAACACAGCTTGCTTTACTTGGACAGCCATGGGCTTGTTTGGCTGTTATCTGTTTGTTTTCTCCTCACGAATCTCAGGTTTAACAGAATAGCACAGAAGAAGGGGAAGAAAAGAATACAAGGGTCAGGGGGAAGCGCGGAGGGTCACAGGTCACCATCCTCGGCGCATGACAAGGCAGTAGCCTCCTGAATTTTTCAGTAGCTGTGACTGACTGGGCCCATTGGTGGCTGTCACGGGTGGGGGGCTCATGAAGTCCCACCGCTTTCCAGGACATATAGGCAGTGTCCTTGTTAGGATGTAACACCGGGACCAAAAGCAGCTCACAGGACTTTAGGAACCAGGCCCCTGCCCCGCCCACCTCCCACCCCTGCCCTCCTGCAGCCACATGCGTGCCCTTTAAAAGTCCCTCCCAATCACTGGCTCGCTCTGTCTCTCTCTTGTCCCTACTTAGAGATGGCCTTTCGCTCCCTCCACCACCAATAAACCTCTCACGTGATCACGGTGTGATTTCTACGGCATTCCTTGGCCCTGAAACACCAGGGTACTCTCTAAACTCTAACATAGGAAAGGGTTTCTTTGACTCACAGTTTACAGTTTATCACGAAGAGAAGCCAAAGCAAGAACCCAGAAGCAGAAACTGAAGCAGAAGCTGTGGAGAAACACTGCTTAAAGGCTTGTTTCTCCTATCCCGTGACCTCCTGACGCAGACATTGTAACCCAGGCAAACCTGGTCCCACCTCTCACTCAGCTGTGCACGGCAAGTGTATGTACCCCGACTTTTTAAAAGAAAGGCTCCACCCACTTCTGTCCTGGCTCCCCACCGCCCCGCCCTCCCCACGTCCCGCCCTCCTCTCCCCACCCCCTCCACGCGTTTCTCTGAAGGGGTAGACAGGACTTTTCCTGTGTCTTCCCCCCTTCTCTCCGGTCCTCCGTCCCCCTCTGCCTCTGTCTGTCTTTACCTCTTTTCTCTTTCCTTCCCTTATTTTCTTACCTCTCCCCATCAATAAAACTTCCAATATGAGTCACGTCTGCAGGTCTCTCTTTCCCCATCGGCCGTCCGTCCATCACCCGCTGCGCTGCTGGACCGAGGGACTGGGGCCTGTCACCTGCGGGCCCAACCCTTTGCGTTGTATTCCTAACCCTGGGGGTGGCACCCCCACACTGGGCTGCGCCTCCCACATAGATCTTCAGTAAGGAAATGCTCCCACGGGCTGACCCGTAGCCTGGGCTCAAGGAGCGTTTCCTCAATCGAGCTTCCCTTCTCTCAAGTGACTCCAACGTGTGACAAACTGACAAGAAACTAGCGGGCATGGGCAGTTAATGGTTGCTGGTGTGGAGGACGCCCACTTTCCTGAGGGTGTATGAGCAGTTAACCCCTCTCACTGGTGCTCCTGAATGTAACCCTGATTAACTTACCAAACTGAAAGCCGGGCAGTGGTGGCACATGCCTTTAATCCCAGCACTCGGGAGGCAGAGGCAGGCGGATCTCTGTGAGTTCGAGGCCGGGCTGGACCGACAGCCTCCAAAACAATACAGAGAAACCCTGTCTCGTAAACACCAAAAAAAAAAAAAAAAAAATTACCAAACTGAGGTTTCACACCAGGGACAAATGGACGGGCCGCCTACTTAACACACCAAAGCAGGCACTGGACTCCGCTTTGGATGCCAGGTTCTCCCAGCATCCCTCAGCCCTTACCTGTTACAGGGCCCTCCTGGCTGGCATACCCGCCCCAGCCCTGAACTTCCCAGACCAGGGGCTGGCTGCCCTTCCCTATATAACCCAGCCATCTTGGATGCCCTCTCTTTTTGTACCTTTGGGCCTCCTGGCTGCTGCACCGGGTTCCCCTGCTCTCCTCTCTCCCTTCCCCTCCCCCCTTCTCCCCACATGGCCCAGCTCAGTCTTGTCCCCGCCTCTGGCTGTGCCTCCCTTTTATCTACAATAAACTCTCTCCTCTGCCATACCTGGGAGCAGTTATGTTTCCTTTCCTTCTATTTATTTATTCTTCCATTCACTAACCAAGCCAGACACGAGCGGAGTTATCTCTTTGGTCTGCCACTGGTGACTTATCTGGGGTGAACAGACATCTGTCTCCCACAGAAATTCACACACAACAGTCACACAGCCTATTCTTACAGTGTGGGCTGGGGGATTTCACTTCGGTCTGCAATGAAAACTTACCTGAAGGTTGATGCTATATTCCAGCAACAGTCTGGCTCCCACAGCTGGACAAGGCAGCCCCCAGAGCTCAGGCATGACTCTAGACACAGGCACAGGTCTCCCAAGATCGCGCCAGCTGCCTTAGTCATCTTCGGAGTGTGGAGCCCAATCGACTTCATCAGCTAAAACCACCTGGAAGATATAGACCAAAGTGTGTACCACTTATTATGTAGTGCTGTTAAAAGAAAATCCCCACACAGTCACAATGATGCATGTGCACAAAGCTACAAAGGGAAGAAGGGAGCTGGAATTTAGTAGAGGGATTGAGTCTTTGTAGACTTTATAACAGGGAGAAGAGGGTCTCGATCCCTCCTGGCCGCTCTCTAAGTGCAGTAAAGAGGAGTTTGATAAGATGAACGTGGCATCACATCCCAGTGTTTGGAAGGCAAGAGGATTTGGGGAATTTGAGGGAAGGAAGGAGGGGGAGGAGAAAAGATTGGTTTTAGAGAGAGACTGGTTTTCCTGAGGTCCCCGGAGCTGCAATATTTGCCGGCTCCACCAGAGGGCAGCCTCTCTGCATTTATGTTCTTCTCGGCAGACAATTGCCACAGCTCGGCATACACTCCAGGTCTGAGCAGAATTCATGCGGCTTTCACAGCCCTAAGATATTCTCCCAGATCCTGCAAAAGTGTCTCAGACACCCTGGAGACAGCTCATGGTGAAAGGTCAAGTGGATAACTTCTAGGGAATGGCTCTAGAATCTCTAGTAGGGTCACTTTTTTTTCAACATAGTGTTTGTTTTTTGTTTTTGTTTTTTTGCAACATACTATTCACCTCAATCACACTCACTTCCCCTTCCTCCCAGGTCCACCCTCCCATCCCCTTCCACCCCCTCCAAAAAACTGGACCAAATGCAATCTTCAATGCCCAATCATTGAAGATGGTCAGCCCCTCAAAGAGTCCTCCCCTGCATTAGCAGCGAGACTTATCATGGTGCATAAACTGCTAAATCCTCAAGGACTGTGTAGCTGTCAGTCAAAAGGAGACCCTTTTGGAAACTAGAACTTTCCCTGAGGTTAAAGGATTGTAGGGAGTGACATCTGGCTCCCACGTCTGGTCCCGATGGTGCCCTAGGAAGGCTGAGTATCATCTTTGCATTTCTCCAGCTCAAGTGCACAATGACCCAGCACCTGGTGACGATGGGGAGATCAGGGATTTCCTATAAGTTCCACTGGGGTACAGAGCCACCCCTGGGGATCAGTAGGGCTGTGATCATTAGTACATCAGACTAAAAGACATCTACACCCGTGACATATAAGGCCACATTCTGGGGTCCACTATGCAGTATTGAAAGGGCACAGTGCAGAGGGAGAATCCACGGTAATGATTGCCTTTTCTATGACCACAGCCAGTTAATCCTGAGGGCATTGCTTCCCTCTTTTGGCCTCTGTAGTAACCTCCCTGTGTAGCCTCCACCCCAACTCGATCAAACAGTGTTTGCTTATCCATAACCTTGCCATGCTACAATCTGCTACAATCCTACAATCCATGAGTGGGAGTTGTGGGGTTTGGGGCAGCAATTTTTATTGGTCCCAGATAGAGAAGGCAACAACAGACCAAAGAGTCAATTGTGTCTAAATGTCAGCTTGGTGAACCTATGCGTTTAAAGTTTCAGGTTACTTCCAGGAGCAGGCTACTTGGATAGGCGGGCGTAACCACCTGTCCCCACCCCCAGCGTGGGCAACACTCATGAAAGCTTCATCCCAGCCAGCTTCCAGGTAGCTGCTCTAGAAAGAGCTACATGAGGACCCCTGCTGTAAGTTTGTCACTTCACATCCTTGGGGAGGAGCAGGGATCCCTTAGTCTTCCACCTCCTTTCACGCAGGAATGTTAATAAATCAGACACAGGAGGGCCTCGTGGGGGGAGATCACAGCTGCTCTGACTGAAAACAGCAATGATCAGAGAGAGCACAGCACCCAACAATGGTTACCGTCTCCTCCCCCACCTGTTGGACCCCTCGCTAACATTGGGGGGAGTCTTTACACAGCCCCCTAATTGCTAAACGTAACAGTTGCTGGCTGAATTTTCCCAGGTCTTGCCTAGAAACAAAGACAAATCATTCTGAATGTCTGTTCCTTTTTTCTGAAGCTGAACTATGAAGTTCTTGATCATTACGAACTATCCGAACATAAGGTCCCTGCCCCCACTCCCGCCTTGACACAGTCTCCTTTGTGGCCCAGACTGGGTGCTGGGTGCACGAGACTTTTTCTTCTGGGCCCCCAACCAGCTCCCAAGTCACGACACAGAGACTTCCTAGTTTTAATGTCCCGCCTAGCTTGGGCTCGATTCTGGCTAGCTCTTAACTGAATCTGTTTTGCCTTGGGTGGTTTTATCTTCTTTCTGCACATCTTGCTTTCCCTGCCTTGCTATACCCAGTTGGCTGATAGCTGCCTGGCTTCTTGCTGCACCCATCCCTTTTTCTCTCCTCACCGTCTATTCGTCTATTTGTTCTCTCTGCGCCCACCTCCCCCGCCAACCCGGCCTATCCTTTCCCTTCCCAGCTATTGGCCATTCAGCTCACTATTGGACCAATCAGGTGCCTTATGCAAGCAAGGTAAAACAGCTTTTCATAATTAAATACAGAATAAACAAAAGTAACACACCTTTACACAGTTAAAGTAATGTTCTGCAGCATAACCAAATCGAACACATCTTTTTAAAATAAATAATAATTATTAAAATAATTAGTGCTAATATTAATTAGTAATATTTAATAATTAAAATAATACACAACACTGGTGTTATAGATCTGTGTTACACACTGTTGTATATTCTTTTAATCACCAAATCCAATGTTAATTGTATGAAGAATTGTTTAGGGTTCCATTAGAACAATGGTCCCCCCTCTCCCTTCTTCCCTCCCCCCCCATGTGTGTGTGTGTGGTGTGTGTGTGTGTGTGTGTGTGTGTGTGTGTGTGTGTAAGGGAAGGGGCCCATGTCATGGAAATCAGAGGACATCTTTGAGACTCCGTTCTCTCCTTCCATGGTGGATTCCAAGGATTGGACTCAGGTAATCAGGCCTATGTGGCAAGCCCCTTTTCCTGCTGAACCACCTTGGAGGCCCTGTAGCATCTTTTTGCATATACTTATGTCTGGAAAAACCCACTCATTCATCAACCAGTCTCTCAAATATCACGCCTTTGTAAAAACCCTTTATTGTTGAAGAGGAGACATTGTATTTTTAATGCAGGACATTTCAGAAACCATAGTGCCCAAGGGATTGAAACTATTCATATGCAGCTTCCATGCTGAGCAGGAGAGGGAGTCAAACGGAGGGTGGGATAAGCTTGGGAAACAGAAAGGGAGTCAGGAGAGCATGCTCTGGCATCGGTACTGAGACGATGTCCTGAAGGTGCCGTCGGGGCTCCACAAGTGGAGTGCTAAAGACAAAAGGAAATGCAGCTTTAAAACCACATCTTTGTCCTACAAATGCCAGCTGTCCCACCCACTGAGGGAGCAGGAGGGCTGTCTCTGCAGAAGGGAAAGCTTCACTCAGGATTGTTCCAGCAGCCTTTGGGCTGGGGAACAGCTGGCAGCAGTGCCTGCCCCTTCCACGATGTGCGAAATGCTGAGCTGTGGTCTGTGGAGGGCATACAGAACAGTGAAATTCCTGTCACCTAGCATTCCCAGGAGGCTGGCACAGACACCACCCATCCACAGTGACTGGTCCCCCCACTGCTTAACCCAGTCCCTCTTCCTAGGCAGGCTCTGAATGACTTGTTTCCGGTAGCTTCGTGTGAATGAAATAAGATGATGCGGCCATCCCTGTTGGTCCCCTTCCTCTGATCATCTGTAAATGCTAGCCCCTGGGGACTGCATGTCCCATCTGTCTGGCACCTAACACGTTTAGAATACCCTCGGTGGTAAGATTAGAAAGGCTGTAATTACTGGCTCAGTCCCTCTGAAAGAACTTGGATTCACCAGCAAATATTAAAAGTAGATTTCCACAATGCACTTGCATTTACCATTTGTATAAAATACTATGGCAAAATTACACTGTAATTATCTTTATGGCCAGTGTATAACATTGGAAGAGAGTATGTTACCCAGATATAGCTACCCGTATAATTATCTGGCCATCGGCAGGACTGAAATAACCATCTAATGAGAGCAAAATGATATGGTAAACACCATGTAATCAGCAAGTTACAGTTATTATAGCCCCTTGTGCCCTCTCACCCAACAGTAAGTGGGAGACTGGACCCAGTCCCTGGTCCGAGGGAGCCGTGGACAGGTGGCATCTAGGGTCAGCTTCTTGGGTCTCGGACTGGCCACCCTGAGACCAGAAACTGTGAATTCCAGAACAAGGGGGAGGGGAAGGAGACTGTGTAGATTGAAGGGGCTTCCCATGTCCCCTCACCCCTTGTCTTCCTTCCCTTTAGAAGCCAGCAAAAAGGAAAGCATCAGCTGAATGGCTGTTGCCATGTGTGGGTGACGGCAGTGTCCAGGCAGAAATTTCTGTGTTTTGACTACACTTCCCTGAGGGGCTTTCACACTACTGGACAAGTGAGGAATCTTGCAGCCCACTCAGCCCTGAGATCTGGCCTAGATGCTTTCATCAGTCAGACAAAAGCCAGCCGGGCAACACGAGGACATTCTCTACCCACCCTCCCCAGTGCTCAGCTTCCAGACCGGAAGAGTCATAATACAGATGACTCTCAGTGTGCCAGGAACCGTTACGAAGGCTTTGTCTAGAAAATCACAACCTTGGGAGATTTTATCACCATCCTTATATTCCAGATGGAGAAACTGAGGCTCAGTGTTAAGTCTCTTGGCCAAGAGGACACAGCTAGAGAAAAGCAGGTCCAGGATTGAATTTAGGTTGTATTCTAATACACTCTGCTGTACTGGGAAGCTAAGATGTGGTTTCCAGCTATTTCCAGACTTCTGGCAACCCAGAATCTCTTCCTAAATCGTAATTGTACTGACTGCATTCTGGCACTGTAACTCAGCACAGCTCAACCTCCTTGGGAGGCAAACACTTTGAGCTGTGAATAAATCTACAGTGACTGAAAGATGATTTCACATCTTTTGAATAGATCACAAGAAGACAGTGTCCAAAAACACCACTGGAGAAGCCCCACGGGATCCCTCTCCCTGCTTCCTACCACCTCTCTCTGCCTGCTCAGTAATCAACAGGGTCCATGACCCAGGAGAAGTATGAAAGAGAGCACATGAGCATCTCTGAGCATCACTGTCGACACTCCGTGTGCTGGACTCTGGCGGTGTGTCTGTGTGTGCATTGGTAGCCTCTGTGAAAACTACAGCTGACCGTTTCCTGCTCCCCCCTTCCCTCCCCCTCCCTCATCCCCTCACCTCTCCAGCCAACCATGCTTACCTTATTCTGCACTGGGGGCCTATTTCAGGGTGCCAAAGCTGGGGGTATTCTCTTCACCCACATCAGTGGGGGCGTCTGGGGGTAGAGTAAGCAGTAGAGTCAGGAGGAATTCTTATGAATCAGTGAAGGGCTGGCTATCAAAGACAGCACTGGAGGACAGCGCTGGGACAAGGGGGAGGGGTAGAGCTTTCTGTCCCCTCTCAGCCCAGCAGGGCTGTCCTGCTGTGCTCAGGAAAGTGACTGACCCTGGCTGTAGATCTGACCAAGAAAGAAAGGGACACAGGCACTTGCTACAACTTAGAAAAGTCTCATATTCCTCTCTGGTGACAAATTGGGAGGCACTTCTGACGTAGCCTCAGTGGTACCCAGACCTTCCCACTGGGTGTACCCTACCTGGCTGGCTGTTTCTCTTGCCCATGAGTCCCACAAAGAAATCATGCATGTCACCTGCAAGAAAAGGCCAATGCTGTCAAGACCTCTGAGACTGCAATCCCCTCTCTCTCTTCTCTCTCTCTCTCTCTCTCTCTCTCTGCTCTGGAACTTGTGGTGTAGCCCAGGCTAACCTTGTACTCTCCATCTCTCCTCTCTTCACCTCTGGGATTACAGAGGTGCATCACCACATCTGGCTCCTCTTTGTCTCATTGGAGCCGGAAGCCCATGGCTAGCAGGTATGCAATCTTCTGCCCGACTTCTCTTCCCGCCCCTCCCCCAGCACTCACACACCCACATTTCATCAGTTTTCTACCGCAGCAGGTGCCTGGCTCAGAGCCTTCATTGCCCTCAGGAGAGCCCCTTACTTCCCAGTGACCAACCAGTGAGGGACAGGACAGCCTCCCGCGCCCCTCACACCTGCTCTCTCTCCTTGTTCCCTGGTACCAGCTCCCACTCAGGAAGGCTGGCTAAGCAATTGCAGCTGGCATACTGTCCACACCAGCTGCAATGGGGTCAGCAGAGACGGCCTATGGGCTGCGTGCCCGTGGGATGCTGGGCAAAAGGTCAGCACAGATAAGGGAGAAGCTACTCACGTTTCTGGGGAAGCGATGTCTCCTTGGGTCCTGTGAAGCCAAGCACAGACATGGGGAAAGAGCAGTTAGAGAGGAATTCAAATCACAGGCCCCTCCCTGCCTCCATTCACCAACTCACTAGGACAGCCCCCCATCTCCCTCTCCGCTGAAGGGGTTCCCCAGGCCAGTCTAATCTGTAGGACATTGTCCCTTGTCCCTTGTCCCTCCAGGGCCTCCTCCTACCCGTGCTGGCCTTGCTCAGCACTTTCAGCAATCCTTCCAGAGACACTGAGTGGCTGTCGTAGAGCCTCCGAAGCAAGGACTGGGGCAACTGGTACAGGTCAGAGTCCTTGTAGGGGAGAGGGACAGGGAGCTGAGGGGCAAGGTCCACACCCCGTCCTTCAGCTCTCTTCCTGCGCAAGGTAGCCTTGCCCTAAACCCACCACAGCTGAAGCCAACCCCCGCTTTCCTTCAGGACTTGCTCTGGTTTACCCTGGAAGAGAAGTGGGTATGCAGGGTATGACGTGGGGGCCCGGGCAGCAGCACTGGAGCGTGTTAGAAATGCAGAATCCTACCTTCAACTGGACACCTGACTCTGAATGTGACCCCATGGTGTTCATGTGCATGGTGAAGTCTGGAGCCATGTGGAGGCTTCCGGATGACTGGCCTGGAGGACTGGTGGCCTTGGACTGCCTCCCTGGGATGCTGGTCACACTGTCTCCCAAGGCCAAGGGTGGTTGTCCCCTGGAACCCTCACCCAGCTCATGCCACCTCTCAGGGACAAAGCCATAGGTTCAGAAACCTGCTTGCTCAGAGATGCGGTTAGTCCCCGGAGTGAGCCATGAATCCCCACACCGGAGAAAGGCCCGTCACACTTAGCAGGTGACCTCTAGCCCATGCTCAGGGGCTTGGCCCTGGGTTCAGGTGGCAACGGGCGGCAAGGGCACACATGCAAACATGGGGGTTCCTACTCCGCGCTGTGTCTACCGGCGACTTCTCGGTAGCGTTCTGCTTCCAATTTCTCCCCTTCTACCCTGGATCTAGAATTTCAGAAAGGCTGCCTGCTCAGCATGACATCTCCTCTGCTCCACCAACAGAACCCCAGATTCCAGAGCTGCTTCCCCAAAAGAGTACTTGATTATCCTGTCTCTCTCTCCCTCGCTCGCTCTGTCTTTTTCTAGCAACTCGGGCACAGCAGGGTTGATGGATACACGCCAGGCACCCAATTAACCAGAGCCGCAGAGAGATGCTGTTGTTGACTGCCAGGGGATGGCTACCTGAATCTCAGTGGTGCCCCTCTCCAGAATTCTAGAGTCCTTGGGCTTCAGTGGACACCTAGGATACACCCCACACAAGCCACCCAGGCACCTACACACACATGTATTCCACCCAGTGTATCTATCTCATCCTCACAGACCTTGGGGAGAGAGATCTCTTTTGTTGACCAAGAGAGGCAGAGGGGTTTTCTTGGAGCCCTAGGTGCTGTAGCAGGCTTGTCTCCGAAGAACCCAGATAGTCTTACCACCCTGACGACACAAGGGCCAGCCTGTACTCGATGCTCACTGAGCAGTGGCTTTTGCTTGGATCTGATGCAACTGCAGCCACCCGCACAGCTACCCTGGCGAGCGAGCACATGTGTGCATGTTCTCCCGTGTGTGTGTGTGTGTGTGTGTGTGTGTGTGTGTGTGTGGTGTGTGTGTGGTGTGTGTGTGGTGTGTGTGTGGTGTGTGTGTGTGTATGGTGTGTGTGCGTGTGGTGTGTGTGTGTATGGTGTGTGTGTGTGGTGTGTGTGTGTATGTGTGTGTGTGTGTGTGTGTGTGTGTGTGTGTGTGTGTGTGGTATGTGTGTGTGTGTCCCTCCCTCCCTTCCTCTTTGCCCAGCTCATAGCTTCCCAGAAGCCACTTTTTCCAAATTGTTCAAATACTCAGCCCACCTCCTGTAATGAGATGCTAAGCAGATTGGAGTTGGAGAGGCAGAAGGCTCCACACGCTGAATTTGTAATAAGTCCCACCTGTAATCATCTAAAAGCATTTGTAACTGCTGTCAACTCAGAACCCTGAGAAGACTTCCTCCCCGCGCCCCCCCCCATACCTACCTGACAAATCCTATTCTTTTTCTTAGAGGAACTTCGGGGATCCAGGCTCATGCTGCCTTGTTTTTCGATTTCTGTCTTACTCCTCTGACGAAGCAGAGGCTAGCAGTAGGCATGGGAGAGGAGAGAAGGTACAGCCTTGGGGCCTTAGACACACCGGAGACTGGGGGGGGGAGCAGAGGATGGGGGGGTATCCTCATCGTGAAACTAAAAGAACACCTGTAACTCATAGATGAAATAGCACGCAGAGAGCCACTTGGGGGAGAAATTCTGCCTGTGTCTGCCTCCATGGAGGGAGATCTGTCCCTTGCCAAGAGAACTGAGCCAGACCACTGAGAACTTATGTAGCCAACTTACCTACAGCACCCCAATCACCATGTCACCAACAAAAAACTGAACATATTTTTAACTTAAAAGATTGTAAGATATAATTACATTACTTTTCCCATTTCCTTTCCTTCTTCCAACCTCTCCCACGTACTCTCCTCTTGCTCTCTCAAATCCATGCCTCTTCTTTAATTGCTATGACATATATACTCCTAAATACATAAATACAAGCCCCTTAGTCCGCATAACGCTAAGCAGCACTTTTTAGGGTACACTTTATCTACAAGATATCCAAGACACAGAGAGATACCCTGGAGACAACAGAAACAGGAGAGTACCAGAGATATAAAGGAATTTAGAGACAAAATGCCCAACCCCATCTTCCTCCCTCCAGACAGACAGACAGAACCAAGTTTCCCTGGACTGTCAGGGGACACCTTACCTTGCTGTGCCTCCCCACAGGCGCCACCTGCTCCGGAGACTCCTCACAGACAGCCCCAAAGCTGCAAGCCACGCTGAGTGCTAGGATGGCAGTGACCAGCATGGAGGCCCTCATGGCGTCTAAATGACAGAGGTGAGGAGGGAAGACAGCTTGGTGGACACCCGCAGGCCTCTCTGACCAGCAGCTGGGCTCCGGCACATTTCTCCAGCTCTTCACCTCCCCTGGCCGAGCAAGCCCTGATCTGAAGAGCGTGAGCTGCACCTCTGAGAAAGGGGGTCCCCCACCAAACATCTCCCCAGGATCTGCCCATCAATGAGCAATGATGTGTGTTGGGGTCTCTAGATCATAAGGGTGGATAGATTCACAGGACGCGTACTGGTCTGTCTTTACCTAGCTTGAGAAGAGACCCCAGATACTTACTGTCTTACAGTGTTAGATAACCTGGAGACTTAGAGAAAAACTTTCTAACCTGTAAGAATCAGTCTTGATTCTGGCCCCAGACACCAAATATTGACAGCTCCCCATCCTCGGGCCCTTTCTGATTGCCTTCCTGGTACCCTACTTGCCTGTCAGAGGCTGCCCTCTCCTTCATGCCTTCTTGTTCTCACCCATCACCCTGGTGCTGGCTTCAGGCCACCACGCGGTCCTCCCAGAGCCTACCTGTGGAGCTGGCTGCACGGCAGGATCGGGGAGCTGGTGCTGCTGTGGAGATGGAAGCAAGAGTGCAGGGCTCTGGCAGGAACCAGTCCCAGCTCCCTGATAAAGGTTCTGGGAGGGTTTGGGGGAGCTGAGGGGAGGGGCTGAGAGTCACCAATCCCAGTTGGCTGGAGGGGAGGAGGAGAGCTGGTAGGGGAGAAGATGCAGGCTGCAGTCACACACCCAGACACACAGGCGCACGTACACACACAAACACACACACACACACACTCTCTCTCACACACACACACTCTCTCTCACACACACACACTCTCACACACACATACACACTCTCACACACACACATTCACATACACTCACATGCACACATATCCACACACATATGCACACACACACACTCTCTCGCTCACACACATTCATACACACTCACATACACACATATGCACTCACACACACATACACACAGTCTCTCTCTCTCTCACACACACACACTCACACACACTCACATACACACATATCCACACACATATGCACTCACATACACACACACACACACACACACACACACACACACACGGACCAGCAGCAAGCTACAGTTGCCCAGCAGCCCCCTTTCCAAAGGCAGCCAAGGCAGGCACTCTAAGGAATGCCATTGTATGTGATTTCTCACAAAATTGCATGCCGAGTCTAGCTCAGTAGGTGTGACTCCTGGACCTTTTTCTCATAACTCACCAGCTCCTCTCCCTTTGAACCTCCAAGCTTGACTACCAGCCTGGAACAGCTCAGACAGGTGTCTCTGTCCCTGCCACCATCGAGGGAGCTGGGGCTTGAAGACTGGGGATGAATCTGGCTCCTTCTGCCGGCCTCCTCCCATGGAAGCTGTCCTGTCCCCTGGTCCTGACCCCAGAGAAGAAGCAGGGCTGCTGGACTGAAGAGGCCCCGCCCTGGCGCCCTCATAACCTCTCTTTTCCTGCCTGAATGGGCTGCCTCAGCTGCCTCTTGCTGGATTCCACCTCCCGTCCCTCCTGCTCCAGGGAGGAGAAAGAACAGCGTGGCCAGGCTCATCTGTCCTCACCTTGCTCTGCTTAGCAATGTCCATTCCTTATTTGCCTCCCTTTTTCCTCGGGGCTCAGACATCTTGTTCTCTGACCCTTCCAGCCCTTGTTTACATCCTACACAGATGAGGGTTTCTCCTATAGTTTCTTTGCCCAGGACAGAGAGCCAGGGGAGGAGAGCCAGCGTCAGAATTAGAACTTAGAGAGGGCCAGTAATGCACTGGGAAAGTGGCAATTAGGATGTGGATACAGGAGCTTAGATATGCATCTCCACAATAGAAATAAGAAATATACCCATTTTTCTGATTAGGAAATGGAGGCCAGGAAGGTTCAGTCACTTGCTCCAGTATACACAGCAATCCGGCTCTTCTTATTCCAACTCTCTCAGTTTGTTTGTTTGTTTGTTTGTTTGAAGACAGGGTTTCTCTGGGTAACAACTCTGGCTGCCCTGGAACTTGCTTTGTAGACCAGGTTAGCCTCAAACTCACAGAGATCCTCCTGCCTCTGCCTCCCAAGTGCTGGGATTAAAGGTGTGCATCACCACCGCCCGGCTTTTCACTACTTTGGCATGTTGACCTTCGAGGGAAACCATTTGCTCTTCTGGAAGGCACAGAGAGCCATCTTTCTGAGTCTCAGAGATTTGGAAACTTCAACCCTTTTACCTCTTGGGATAAGAAGAAAGTAGTATGTGCCCCATATTTCCCACAGACTCCTCCAAACACCTACTTGAAATTGCTTCCGCCCTGTACCCTGCTCCCTTCTTCCAGCACCTGTATCCAACATGTTGATGTTCTATCACTGAATCTTATTTCTTGTCTCGGTCAAATACACCAACCCTACTAAGCATCGAAAGGACAAGAATTTTTGTCTGTATTGTATCCCTTACCCTATAGTATTTGGCATATCATAGATGCTCAATAAAAATTTATGAAAAGGAGCCAGGCAGTTGTGGCACACATCTTTAATCCCAGCACTCAGGAGGCAGAGGCAGGTGGATCTCTGTGAGTTCAAGGCCAGCCTGATCTACAAAGGGAGTTTTAGGACAGCCAGGGCTACATAGAGAAACCCTGTCTCAACCCCAACCCCCCCCCCAAAATAAAGCAAAACAAATTATACAAAAGGAAGCCAGAGTCAAGAGTTTTTTGTTTTGTTTTTGTAAATTTCTACCCCCAAACAGGTAGCATATAATGGGGCTCCCATTTCTCCCCACACCACACACCCCAGGACTTGGGTCAGAGTAATAAAAGTCACCCTGGCTACACAGGGCCCCTTGTTCACCCCAGAACATGGGCAGCAGCTGGGTATCAAAGTCTCTTTACGACAGGAGAGGCTAATGGGGCCTCATTAAAAGCTTCTCACTGCCCAGTTAATTGCAGGACTGTGTGCAAAGAGCATGGGCCAGCTCCCAGACTGTGAACATTTGGTGGGGTGCGGAACAGGGATGGGAGGCTGTTTACATGCAAATGGCATAAGATGCTCACTCCTTCAAGAAGCCCAGGTACTCTTTCCAATTGGACCTAGCCTTAGATGGCTCCCACCTCCTCTTCTCCAATCTGCAACAATGTAGAGACAGAAGACCCAGCCGAGCAGGCGGAGGGAGTTGGCTGTGCGAGCATAGATGAGGACCAAAGGCTTGGTGGCCCCAGCTTGGGCAGCCCCTGCCCCCCAACACAGCATCACCATCCCCCAGCCCTGACATCAGGGAATCGCGACTTCAGCAAAGGTCCCACCATGAATAATGTCCTTTGATGATGCTGTATCTCACAGAGGAAGGCAGGAGTTGAGGCTGGGAGGGAGCTGATCACCCTTGATCTCTAGGATTAGCAAAGACTTGAAAGGGCTGATGCTGACCCAAGTTAGAGAGGGGACGAAGGAGGGAGGCCTTAGGAGCTGGAGCAGGCAGCTTCTCCTTGCCCACAGATCACATCCAAAAGTGCTGCTGTGGAGCTGCTACAGAGCTACCGAGGTTTTGTTTGTTTTTTCTTGGCATGTTTCTTTATTTGAGGCACATCGCGGATGCCGTCTCCATAGAGGAGACAGACATAAAGTCCAGGGTCTGTAGCAGCAGGCAGCCCATCCCTGACCCCACTGTATGCATGCATGAGTCCACGCATGCATGTATATTCAGTTGTACAGAGGGGAGACAAGTTAGCCGGCCATTCTCTACGGGCACCTGGCAGTGTGCACAAGACAGCGTGTGCTTTCCCGCCGTGCACGCATCAGTGGGCCCCTCGGTATCCGGGAGAGATCCTGAGGTGAGGGCGGGGCCTGTGGGACTCGATAGAGAAGGATGGCAGTTCTCTCTCTGGAGGAGGCCCTGAGGGCACGGAGGAGTCTGGACTGAGCCTGGACTGTGTCAGAGCTGGATTAAGGTGGGAGGCTCCTCAGTGTGGGAACCAGGGTGGTCAGGAGAGCTTGTGGCCCTCAGAGGTTGAAGCAGCCCACACTTTGAGAGTGCTGTGAGGGGACTCAGAAGGCTGGGGCAGGGCGGATGACAAAGTCCCAGGCGGAAAAGTCAGTTTCAGCCCTTCTCTGTAGGTGGGAAACCCATAGGCAGGAAAATGGAGACTTCAGGACCCTGAGCTCCAGAAGAATGGAGAGGCGTAGATGACACAGGAGGGGGAGATGGGAGAGGGCGGTGAGCCCCACCCATCCTTGAACTAGCATCCGGCAGCATGGGGGGAGAATGGAGGCCCAAGACCTATTTAGCCCTCCCCATCCCCGCCCCCACCCAGGGAGCTGGCATCTCCCTCAGCCCTGGGAAAAGAAAAGCCGGCTTTCGAGCAGCAGCTGCATTTTCTCCTGAAATTGCTTCTGAAAACAACCAGACACTTCACTGGGAAAGTGACGACAATTTGGGCCCTGGGAGCAGGAGATGAGGTGGAGAGCGGGGGCGATCAGGCTCAGGTCACCACCCGCTCCCAGCCAGACACGATCTGCTGATTCTGAGAAGTCAAGGTTGGAGTTCTCATCTGGGAGTGGGAGGCTAGCCAGAGCCGAGCTGTCTGTCCTCCAGCCCCACCCGGCCCCAACCGGACAGGTTCTAGCCTCTGTCTGCCCTGGGCACATTGCAGCCCAGAGCGGGGTGAGCCAAAGCTGGGGGCTTGGGCTCAGAGAGAGAGAGAGAGAGAGAGAGAGAGAGAGAGAGAGAGAGAGAGAGAGAGAGAGAGAGAGAGATTAATCTGCAGGCAGGAAGGGTAGTTAATCAGGTCTCCCTGCCAGCATGATTACTTGGGCCCGTGAGCTGCCTACCGATGGAGGCTGCAAGGGACCCAGGCTTGGCTTGGCTCAGTGGAGGAGGCAGGGGGAGGCAGGGAGGGTGGAGATGGTGAGAGGAGGGAGAGGCATCCGGAGACAATGCAGCTCTCCCTAGTCTCTCCCTGGGTACAGATCTAAATTTCAGTGCTATGTGCACAGGACAGGAGGGTGAGGCAGGCCCTTCTCTGAGGACAGCGAGCAAGGAGCGATAGCTCACTAAAAGACTTTACAGATTAGCGCTGTCAAAGCCACACAAACCCAGGCAGTGAGGCGGCTTGACAGTCCGAGACGAGAAAAAATAATGACTGGGACACAAAATTAAGGAGGACAAGAGGAAAGGAGAAGTCTGCCCCTGTCAAGGGCCACCAGCTGTGTGATTAGCGGCAGCTTGGCATCCCCGGGGCAGAGAGAGGAAGAGGTTTCCTGGGAGGCAGGTGGATACAGTCTGTCTCTGGGGTAAAGGATGACAGATATCCTGGGAGCAGGGCCCCCACGTACCCCAGTTTGCCTCAGCTTGCACGGACCCTGTAGCCTTGGGCTTCTTTTTCAGGCGACATCTCCAAGGAACCTAGTCTCCAAGGCAGGCATCCTCAAGTCTTCCCTCAGGGACACATTTAATGAATCAGCTCATTGGCCACCTGCCACCTGAGCCCCATCCCGGGCTCCTACACCCCCACCCCAGTCTCTCTAAACTCCTCCAGAGCTCAGCCGGTCAAGGAGGCCGGGGACAATTCCCCTTCTTTTCCTTATTGTCTGTTCTATCTGGTTCCCAGGAGCCTAAGGGGTACATGGCATGGGAGTGGGGGTGGAGGGTTCAAGTATAACTGGGTAAAAATCAGAGTCAAGTAAATAAAAAGTA